GAAATAACCATCATTTTTAACCAAACTAAAAAACGTATCAAAATAAATTAAAACATTTTAATACTTAAAATCAAACCAAAACTGAATAGAAATAAAGAACCACAAACCAAGAGTCAAGAGACAAGAGGAGTTTACGTATACATTCATCATTCAAAAAAACAACATGGACCATTCAAACAACCCAACTCGTTGAGCCCAATCCCGGGTTTCATGTTAGTGCATTCGCATGGTTGAAAAAGTCTCGAACATTATTGTAATGTAAAATCGCAATGATTAGTTTGTTATCTTTGACAAATCACAATGATTAGTTTATGATCTTTTGACAAATAAAACTCAGATCTTCTAGCATTTTGAGATCAAAACAACCAGATTTTCATACGTTAATAAAGAATCATTGCTGAACTATTTATCTATTTTTATATTAATCACCTTGTTAGAACTAATTATCTAACTATATATGTCAAACAACATAATCATCACCTTGCACATACCTCACATTAAGTTCATCTACACACACGTTGTATCTCTTTTAACATACCAGTATTTTTGTAAACTTAGATTTTATGCGATTCTCTCATTTATCAAAATCTTTGTTATCATATTTTAAAATTCGTTTAGTTTGCATTTCTAGATGTTTTTCACATTTGTGTGTGATAAACATGCACGCCGAAAAAAATTAAACAAACAGAGAAACCATATAACATTATTAAAATTTGAATTTCCAACCATTAAAATTATTGCTACTAAAACTAAATGCTAGACTACGAGCATTCTTCATTATACACCTCACCTACCCCAACAATTGTTCGTCTTCTCAACATAAATAACGCTTCTTGTAATCTCGATCCTCCCAAGCTCCATCTAGAACAAAATTTTATCAAACTTGTTCGTAAAACAAAAACCCTTTGAGATAGCGGGAACATGAAGAACATCTCAAAGGGTAACCCCTCGACCACGCCCGGACTTCAGGTTCATGTCACCTCTTCCAATTACTCGAGCTCAGTGCCTAACCACACAAACCACGAATGTCTTTGGTGCTGCAGAATGGTAAGTGCGGATGTCCTCTGTCTACAAACATGCATAATATCTCCAATGATGACAAATTATCTAGGATTTGAAATCACCCGCGTCAGTGAAGAAACCATGTAGCATCCTTCTTTCATTTCTTTCCATTAGAGCATTATACTTTCCTTTTACCAGTTATGGCACTATACTTTGGAAATCTGCTCAACTATAGCATTATACTTTAAACTTGCTTTAATAAGACATTATATTCAGGAAAAAATACTCAAATATTGTGGAAAGTACCATCCACATATATATATATATATATATATATATATATATATATATATATATATATATATATATATATATATATATATATATATATATATATAAGAGCGTTCAATTGAGAAAAAAAAAGGTTGAGAATAGATGAATCATTCTCAGCCAATCATTTATTTTTGGGGCAAAAGCCTCCAACGTACCGGCGGAAATGGGAAATGAATGCATATGTGTTTTCCAACAAAACATATTTCCTTAAATTATGCTCATCATTACCTTAATATATACAAAAACATAGTTTTTTTTTTATTATTATTATTTTTAGAAGCTATTTTTATCAAAAAATGATTTTAAATATACCCAAATTCATGATTTTTTATTCTCTACAAATAGACATCCATATTGATATAGTTTTAAGATAATATATATATATATATATATATATATATATATATATATATATATATTATATATATTATATATTTTCAGCTATCGTTATTCATAAGTGAATAAAAATGCATCAGGTTTTATTACTGTACATTCGTTATTCACTTATGAATAATTTTTTTTTTTTTTTTTTTTTTTTTTTTTTTTTTTTTTTTTTACAATTTAGGTATCATTCATATATGAATATAACATACAATTAAACATAGTATATTCATATTTTAATATTAGACAATGCATTCACTTGTGAATATTAACATAGTATATTCACTTGTGAATATTAGATGATATATACATTTATGAGTATTAAATAATATTTTATATGTGAATATTACATAGTATTACATGGTATATCACATGTGAATATTACATAGTATATTCACTTGTGAATATAAGATGATATATTCACTTATGAATATTACATAGTATATTCACATATATATTACAAAGTATATTCCCTTGTGAATATATTCACTTATGAATATTTGAAGGTATTTTGACAAATATATATAATTTTTATATGTTATTCACATATAAATAACATACAGATTTGCATATTTGTTTTGTGTTTTTAATAATCATAACCTAATTCAGATGAGAAACATATTTATATGTGAATATAACGTGGTAATTTAGTTTATGCTTTTCATCACACAGCTGGAGTGCATACAAGTTAAGTATTTTAAAAATGTTAAAAACATCAAGTTATCAATTCCAAATCATCCTATACTTTTGATTTCGACTTCAGATGCGACATCTTATGTCTGATCGATTTCTCATTTTGATTTTGATTTCCAAAAATCCGATTGGGAACTTGTGAGTACCGATTATGAGTCCTTCAATGTCGACTGTAAGTGCGAGTTCAGAACTCCGATTCCAATTTCATGAACAACGAAGAAATTCCGATTTAGTTGAAGAAATCTGGATGATTATTGAAGGTTGAAGAAAATTTTTGATGATGAATGAACTGTTATCGAATTCTCTGTAGTTACGTATTTAAGATTGAAGGTTATTAACATATTTACAAGTTTGTCACCGTGTCTTTTCATACTTAGATTAAATGTGTGGCTGAAAATGATTCTCTCATTCTCAACCTTTTTTATTTTCGCAATTGAACCCACCTCTCTCTCTCTCTCTCTCTCTGTATATATATATATATATATATATATATATATATATATATATATATATATATATATATATATATATATATATATATATATGGGAAAAGTGAATATACCCTTAAGGGTATATAAGCTTAGATACCCAAACTCACCATACTATGTCGTTTTGTATCATATATATACATTGTAATTGTCTAATGTTCTTATAATTCAACTTCTAACTTGATTTCATTCAAAGATTTTTATAAATTTCACATTTATTTTCCTCTTATATAATTTTCATTTTCAACTATAATATATATAGCCTAATTGATCTTCGTCAAAAAGATGTGATTTAAGAGGAAGATAATAATGAAATTTTAAAAATCTTGAAAGTAAATCAAGTTAAGGATTGAAGTTGAAGAACATTATAATAAATATATCAAACAAAATGACATATTATACTGAGTTTGGGTACCTAAATTTATATACCCTTAAGGGTATATTCACTTTTATATATATATATATATATATATATATATATATATATATATATATATATATATATATATAATATATATATGAGATCATATTAATAGTTGATTTTTTATTCAAATGGTCTTAAAAAAGTTAGTGATCTCAATGGATCTCATATATATATATATATATATATATATATATATATATATATATATATATATATATATATATATATATATATATATATATATATATATATATATATATATATATATATATGAGATCCATTGAGATCACTAACTTTTTTAAGACCATTTGAATAAAAAATCAACTATTAATATAGACAGTTGTGTCATACTAAATTGGTGGGATACAAAAAACCCCTTAATTTATTTATTTGATTTTTCAATTTCTAGACCTTATTTTTTATTGAAGAAAAAAAAAATAAAAAATGCAAAAATTCATAATTTTTTATCCTCTATAAATAGACATTTATAATTTTTTATGTTTTTTAAATGTCTATATTGATGATGTGTACAATGCACATTTGTGTTTGTACATATTAAATGTGTACGTTTACACATCACTCGAAAAAAAAAACATTTTTTTTTAATTTTTCTACAAATCACCTTCGATAGCATCGTTTTAGCCTAATAAAGCGTTTTTTTAAATTGAGTTTTTTTTTTCACAATTTTTCTACAAATCACCTTCAATTTCAATAATTTTTTCACATAAACAATTTGAAGCCTATTGATTCTAAAAAATTGTGGATCATTTCTACATTTCGGTTTATAGATGTAGATCGCGGACCTATGAAAGTATGAATGGTGATATTCCCAAAACTAACAAAGAGGGAAATGATTTAGGCAAGAAAAAGCAACTTGGACAAAAAGAGGGAAATGATTTAGGCAAGAAAAAGCAACTTGGACAAAAAGAATCGAAGTGGCTTAAATAAATCTTTTTTGACGAATCAATCAAATTTTGATTAATACATAATTGGTCAAACACTACCTAAAAACGGCTCTTCTGCTCAGAAAAGAAATGTTGCAAATATTTCTGGAAATTCTTGTTTCCAATATTTTTACTATCAATATCCAAATCCAAATTCATGGGTCCACTGTTGATTCAAACTTTTAATCACTAACGCGTAGGGAATAGGCCTAGATAATAATAATAATAATAATAATAATAATAATAAAAATAATAATAATAATAAAAATAATAATAAAAATAGAAATTATAACTAATATGCATGATTTTAGACATTTGAAGCTTCACTGTCACGAATCTCGATTAATAAGATAGCATGTTAAAGTTGCAATCACCGTCGATGACTCAAAGGTAGAAAATGGGTTTTTTCATTTTTGTTTAGGAAAGAAAAAGCCATGCACGGCTTGCCTTGACCACATAAGCACCGACTTTAAAGTTTAAAGTTAAGCAATTTTTGACGAAAAGCTAGCTTTTAGACTATAGGTAGTTTATCAATAAGTTATTACCTTATAAACTACTTTTATGATTTTACAAAACGCTAAATTACAATAAGCTAGTTTATTTTTACCAAAGATAGCCTTAATACCATATACCATAGACATACATACAATGATTTGAAGCTAGTCTAATTGTAAAACGTTGTCCTTTTTGTATATTTAAATGTACTGCTCTTAAATTGGAGTAAAAGAATAACTAACCCATTGCAGCAAAGAGAAAGGAAGGTAACTTCATCTCGTATAGAATTGATGAAGTAGCATTAACAACACCAATCTGTGGTTAATTTATGGATCACCAAGACAGCAACCAAAAGTGTGAGTGTGACTGGAAAATGCAAAAATGGTGAAATCAATCCAATGTGTAGTTTTAGCAACTGATTCATTAGAAGCACTTGTACCCTGGGTCCCAATTGCAGTACACGTCAACAACACCATCATTTATTATTTCATATCAAACAAAACTACTCTACAGAATAGATAATACATATACAGTACAATAGCATAATAGCACAATAAATCAACATAGCAAATTAAGCAACTCATAAAGTCTTTGATGGTGTAAAAGTGTGTTGCTGACTCTATATAAAGTTGGGTTTCAAGCACTTGCTGACACTTGTTCTGAGTAGAGATATAACTCGACCCGGCTCTGGATCTCCAAAAACTGAACTCCCAGCAACAATGCAGTTTGCACCTGCAGCAGCTGCCTCATCAATCGTTGAAGGCCCTAAACCTCCATCTACCTGCCATCCACAAATATATATATATATATTTTTTTTATGTAAAAACATCAAGCATGCAATAAGAGTTTTGAAAGTTGAAACACTAACCTCTATATCAAGTTTCGGATACTTTTCTCTCAATGTGCGCACCTATTCAACAACAAAATTGTCAGTTGAGAAACTCAAATGGAAATTTTAGGCAGAGAAAAGTTCCCATAAATAAATACACCTTATTCATCATATCTGGAATGAACTTCTGCCCACCAAATCCAGGTTCCACAGTCATAACAAGAACCATTTCAACAGGATTTTCACCTTCAAGCTATCAACCAGTGAAAAACAAACCATCATCAATCAACAAGGGTTTCTTTTCTTTTACATTATCAGTTATCACAACATGTTTTAGAAACATACATACCAGGGGATACACATCCTCAATGGGTGTTCCTGGTTTTAATGCCACACCAGGCCGCATGCCTTTCGACTTGATTTCTTTAACAATTTCTTGCCAATTATCTGTGCAACAACTAACTATGATCAATCTAAAATAATACAACTTTGTGATCCAAATAACATACAGTAATCCCACCTTTAGACACCTCAACATGAAATGTGAAACCAGAAGCACCAGCCTTTCCTAATTGATCAACATAATCAAGAGGATTTGTTACCATAAGGTGGCAATCCAGATATGCCCTGCATCACAAGAAAGCTCCTTATTGCATTAGCCATGAAGTTAAAGAGCATAGTGGAAAAAACAAAGAACTTCATTTACTTTGTGTGCTTTCTTAAACTCGCAATCACTGGAGCACCAATTGTAAGATTTGGGACAAAATGCCTGAAATAAAATGAAAGGCATGAGTGTTAATTAATAGTCATCATTTATACAACTACAAGATTAAAGTCGACTAAAACAAACTATCTGCTGGTTTCTGATAAACAGCACAAGATCTTTAGCCAACTCTGAAACCATACCCATCCTGCAAATTAACATCAGCGGTCTATCAGAGACGACCACTATAACCAAAGAAGCAAATTATGATACTACAGTCACAACATGAAATGAAATTCTGATCACAAGGCTAATGTATAGAGGGTCCTGTTGGGGCCAAAACGAATAAAAGCAATGTAGAGTGCAGATGCAGGTCAAGAAATGAAAACAAAGCAGACGGTGAAGTTGACCAAAGTTTCTATATGATAATTAAAATCCTGTCTGTGATAAATAACAACTGCCTTGCCTCAGGTGTACAGAAAACACAGAACCAGTATCAAATTGGAGACAAACACAATCTGGAAATACAATAGCTCAAACTCAATTAATAGACAAACATGCATCAAAACCAAACGTACTCGAGTACTAACTCTGTTACATGCCATTAAACAAATAAAACACAAGATGTGTGAGTGCTGAGTTAGTGACTTAGTGTGTTTGCCAATGCGTAAGACAGTCAGAAAATGAGAGGACAAAGGAACAAACATAATATCAGCTATACGAGAATGATAACATTGAGTCGTATTCTAGGTCAACCATTCATGATTTCATCATGACTTAATTGCTAAATCAGGTTCTGGAGTAAATCGATACAAAAGGATTGCATAGTCTCTGATACCACAAGTAAAAATCGACAGTACTATTATCTTCAATAGCTAAAGCAACGATCAAATCCAATCAAAACCTGTATTTCTATGTTGAAGGATCAAAGGAAATTTGGTACCATTATGTCCATGTGAAGCCAATCGGCACCGAAGCTGATCATGCGCTCAGCCTCTGAAGCCAGATTGGCGAAGTCCGACGATAGCATCGACGGCGCGATCTTCGCTTCCACGGCTGTAGTAGGCATGTTTCGAAGTTCCGAGGAGATATCAAAGTCGGTTTAATTGTGCTGGACCAAAAACAATAGAAGATGTTATTGAACATATTAAAACCCTAGGAATAGCAACTTTGCTGCAGTAATCAGACTTTTGGTGTAAACGGATACGCAAGTACATACCCCAAGCTCACCCAAGTCAGAAAGGTTCGATTGAGGAGTGATGACCTCGCAAATACGCAGCAGAAGGTACCTTAGTCGCAAATACGCTCAGTGAACTGGAGTAAGGATTTGAGGTGAAAAATACGCAGCAGAAGGTACACCGTGTCGATCGATTGAAGCCTGCAAAATCGAGGACTATAGTAATCGTCGATCGATTCGGGTCTGGAGGTAGACAGTAGACGGGAGCAGCAGAATGTGGGGATCGTTTTGTGATATTCAAATTGAAATTTTAATTTCTAACCCTAGCCGCTGCAAAAGTAAAATAACTCCCGTTTCAATTTTGGATAAGGAAGTCGAGTCAACCACTTCTCAACGTGGAAGAGCTTTAGAACCCGGACTTGTTGAGAATCGGAACCGGAGTTGGATTTGTTATATTATAGGAATACTGTCGGTGCGGGTTTCGGTTCCAATCCCGGTCTTGGATTTTCGGATTTTTTATATTATAGGAATCAGAAAAGGGGCATATATCAAAAGATTTCCCGAAGAAAAATGAAGCAACAAGACTGAATGCGCCGAAGCTAAAAGCAAGAACCTTCCAGATGATCCTTAATGAAGCTGACAAAAATGCAAGGGATTAGGATTAAGGATATATTAAGTAGCTATAATCATAAGAGGCATATTATATGGTGAACTTGAATGTCTATGTAGTCATTTCAAGAAGTAGTATAAGTCTTAGTTATATTATCCGAGGTGTTAAATGATTATATGAAATTTTTGTATTGTGACTTGGAGAAGTATGAGATAATTCTTGGGATGACTATGAGTAGATGTGAAATGTAGTAGAGGTTTATACCACTGGAAGCACATGACTTACACTTGGATCATGGAAATGCATAAGGTTACCAAGGAACTAATAATTGATTATGTTTTGTTAATATCTTTAATTACCATCGTTTCGGTAATGACTAAGAAGATTATTGTTATTCCGACCCAAGTGGTCATATCAAATCGAGTCCGGCTAAGATGAGTATGTTATGTGGTTCAGAGAACCAAAATCGATGTAGCATTTGACTTAAGCCATAAGATTGAAGTAAAAGATAATCAAAGCAATCAATAGAAGTATCGCGATCGCCGTTAAGTAAGAAGCTTGTAGCTAGAAATGCTACATGCTAGAATATGATTATATCACATAAAAACATAAAGAAATGTATCTTACATTTTGGAAGAATTTGACTCAAAAAGACCTAAGTCTAAGACGTTGCATCCTACGATGAGAGGTCATTAGAACATGACCCATCGGTGTTAGTAGAGCCTTGGTGTTAGTTAACGGCTGGCTGACAAAAGAATTTGATATTAAATGGGAGTGAGGCAAGGAGATTCACTATCACATTTTCTCTTCATTATAGCCATGGAGGGTCTTCATGTTTCCATGGATGCGACTATTGATCTTCACTATTTCCGTGGGCACTCTCTCCCAAATAATGGGATCTCTATCTCACACCTGATGTACGCTGACGATGTGACTTTTCTTGGTGTTTAGTCAGAGATTAACTTTGTTAATCTTAATAGATTACTCTGTTGTTTTTTTTATTGCCTCAGGTCTGAAGGTGAACCTACACAAGAGTAAAGTGTTTGGAGTTGGTGTCGATAAGAGGGGGTAAATAGATTTGCTAGCATTTTAAAGTGTGAGACCGATTCCTTTCCATTCTCGTGTCTTGGTCTTCCAGTGGGAGCTAATATGAAATTTTCGAAGAACTTGAGTCTGATCATTGACAAGTTCAAGAGAAAATTATCTATATGGAAATCATAGACTCTTTCGTTAGGTGGGTGTCTTACCCTTGTTAATTCAGTTCTTAATAGTTTACTCATTTACTACTTTTCTCTTTTTAGAGCTCCTAAAAAGGTGATTAGCTAATTTGACACCACTAGAAAAAGATTCTTATGGGTTGGTAATGAAAACACTAGAAAAAATAATTGGGTTGCTTGGGAATAGATGATAAAACCTAAAAAAGATGGTGGGCTTGGTGTTGGTTGCCTTAATGGGGTTAATTTGGCCCTTTTTTCCAAATGGTGGTAGCGGCTTAAAATTGGATATGATTCCTTTTGGTTCTCTTACATTCGTTCCATTCATAACATTAAGTTGATAGATGGGAGACCCTTTGCTAAATGCTCTATTAAACGTGTGTGGCTTAGCATCTCTCAAATTAGCATCGATCTTTTGGATAAAGGGATAATTCTTGCTGATTTGTTCAAAAGAAAGGTTGGAAGGGGTGATAAAACCTTCTTTTGGAAGGATTGTTGGTGTGGGGATTTCACCTTGAAAGATCTCTACCCTAATCTTTATAGTATCGAATCAAACAAGGACTGCCTAGTCAAAGATAGAATTATTCTGAATAATGTTGACGATGTAAAGTGGAATTAGAGTTGGTCTAGGCGTATTAGATTTGGGAGAGAAGCTAATCAACTCTTGCTTCTCACGGGCCGGTTAAATAACTTTCAGTTTCTAGTAGTTGTGATACGTGGCTTTGGAAATGTGATGCTAGCGCTCCGTTTTCGATGAAAGAGCTAAGGAATTTGATCGACACCTCGTCTTATGTTAACATGCCTAAGTTCAAGTAGGTTAAGTGGATCCCGTTAAAAGTCAATTGTTTTGTATGGAGACTGATTAGAAAATCGCATCCATCTTTTTTCTAATCTTTTGTCTCGTGGAGTTTGTGTTGCGTCAACCTTGTGTTCTTTCTATGGTTTGGACGAGGTATGTTTGGATCACGTTTTCTTCTCCTGTAATGTTGCCTCGAGACTTTGGAAATGGTTGGTGGAGTGGTCTGACATTCTTGATAAGTGACTGTCTTTATGTTTGGAGCTTTTGGAGATGCTGAATTTGGCTATTGAGTGTAAAAGAAGAAGAAATCCGCAACTTTCTCTTGTTTATATGATTCTTTGGACTATTTGGAAGGAGAGGAACGCTATATTCTTCAGATCTAATCGGCGAGCGTGTATGCTTCTTGCGGACGATATTAGAATAAATATTTTAAGTTGGATTAAAAATAGGTCCAATTGTTCTATGCTTGATTGGTCCTTTTGATGTATATCTCATTTATCAAACATTTTGTTGTAATGTGGCATGTGCTCCTCACTTTTAACCCCTTTTTTGTTATCAAATATATTTCGTTCACCGTTCAAAAAAAACCAAAGCTCGACTTTACATCCATGTTGATGTCTAGGTATGCGTGTGGGTTTGACCTTTGGTTGATCAACATCAATTACTTTACAAGTTTAGAAAGAGAAACTCCATATAAACCTAGTATTGTTTCTCAACTTTAAGGCTATCTAGAGTGGGCACTTCAACCCATGCGTGGAGCTGAGCTGGAGGGCCTGAAGACACGTGAACTTCGTTCCCAGACGCTGTGGCTTGCGTGTGGCGTCTCTACTAAGACGGGCGAAGACGACGCTCCCTATTGGTTGGCTTCCCGTTTTGACCGATTGGAGTTGTTTGGAGGCAATAAAAAAATCTTTCACATTTGCAGGTATTAAATGGAAAAAGACGATAGACGTAGACACACAGTTTTCAATAATCATCAATTATGGTCCTTTGAGTTTGGGTCAAAAGCAGAACAAACCTCTTCCTTAATTTTCTTTCTCTAAACTGGTTTATAAAATTTACAAATTCCACCCTAGACTTTTATATTCCTATTATTATTATTATTATTATTATTATTATTATTTTCTATGTTTTATTAGTTATATTTTTTTTTATTTAATTTAATGTTTTTTTTTATTATTATTATTTTCTATGTTTTATTAGTTATATTTTTTTTTATTTAATTTAATGTTTTTTTTTTTTTTTTTTTTTTTTGTAGAGTGGTAATCATTTCCAATATATTTAGTGAGTTGGTAGGGAAGCTAATGTAACACATGCTTTTCCCATTTGACCACTTGCCATAGTCTAACCTTTAAAAATTCCAACACTAGCACCTGGTTAATGTACACACAAACATGGTTTTTCTACATGCCAGTAATATTTCCATATCTTAAAAGCAAGCCATACACAGAATACTAATACGATAAAAACAGGCACGACATACATTATTGCAATTGTTGACTGCAAATAAAAAATCATACAAAAACATCGTATGTAACTGCAATTTATATCTTAATAATTATTTAATTTTTAACAACGTCCACATCTAGCTTGGGTACTCATCTGCTCAAGACGATTTGGACTTGGGTGGTGATGGAAGCAACTGCAAAAACCAATACCAATACGTAATTAACAAAAATTGCAAGTTTGGTCTCTTTTTTTTTTTGAAATCCTCCTGAAGTTGTTCGTAAGTTTACATTTTGTTGCACATTTGGTCCCCCTACTTTACTCAAAATCACAAATATTTTGAAATCTTCAGAAGTCCTACTTAAGCTCGCATTTCATTCATTCATTGTGACCAAACTTGTCAAATCAGCTATACTTGGGTACCAAACTTGCTAAATAATCAATAATCGGGGAGCAAAAATGTAATTTACTCCTGCTTTCAAGACTTGCATTTCGTTGTCAAAGGGATTAAATCCGAAATGCAAACTTAAGGACAACTCATGAAGATTTAAATATACTGGCCCAATTTGCAATATTGAGTAAAACACAAGGACCAAATTCTTAATATCCTCTAGAAAGTAGCAACTATATAAATACAATAGTATTTAAACTTTCAGGTAAAAGCATTTTTGTCCAAAAAAATTTTAACTTGTATAAATAATTAATGGCTATAAAGTAAGTACCTGATAACAAGATATGAGGGAGCTGGCGAATCCAAAGGCTCCTGTAACACGAGGAGTCACCTTTTTGGGAGACAACTGGAGCAACCCGGCTGCAACCACAATATCCATGGCCGCTTTGATCAAAGCCAATGACCTCTCATTTGATGATTTAATTTTAGCACGATACTCTTCGTTCTGTATTTATTATTTAATGTAAATTAAGTAACCAAATAAATTATCATAAAATAATACTATTTGATTGATTAATACAAACCTTGTATTTATTGGTATCCTTGAGTTCCTTATCCAATTTCTTCATTGACTTCGAAAGCCTCCCAAGCTCTCCTATCTGAAGATGAGTTAGGGTTGAATATGTAAAATGTTGAATATGAGGGTCAGATATGTAAAATGTTGAAGACGAGGGTTGGATATGTATTTGTATACCTCGACTAAAGTAGTACAGACTGAAGACCCCATCCAACAGAAGAGTGATATCCTGCCAATTATTTCTGCCCGTTCTTTGTTCTAAAATAATATAACTTCATGAGTCCAAAATGACATTCTACTTTATAAAAGTTTCCGTTTTGTTAAATAGTTAAAACGAATAGATAATTAATCAAAACTAGAAAAGATATCGCACCTT